ACCTAAATATGTAGGCCTGGTGTAGCTCTGTGGGCTAATGCACTGGATTGCAAAGTCGGTTTGAACCACAAGGTTGGTGGTTCAGGCTCAACAGCTACTCCTTGGAACCCTACACAGGGTCACTATGGGTTGGAACTGACTTAACAACAAATATGTATCATTGTTGCATGATGTCAGTTCTGATAAATCTTACATTTTTCACAGCATGCAAATCAAAGGCATTGTCATGTGGGAATTCAGTGTGTGGACCCTGGGTTTGAATCTTGACTCTACTATAACTGAATCACTGCAAATATGTACCCGAGAGCTTTGGTTTAATGACACCTTGTAGTTGGTGCTCTGCACAATACCTCTTCTCATTCCTTTGTGAAGCAAGATCACAATTTATGCTGTGAAATAATGGGTGGGAGAGACTTTCTGCTCCCCAGGGAGCTTTCCACTTAGCAAATGAAATAGATGTTGCACAAGAATAACAATTTTAAAAATCAGAAGAAATGCCTATTATTCTTTATTCACTGAAGATATTCATGATCTACAGCTTGTATATGATGCATCATTTTAAGTGTCACTCTTTTTTAAGAAGTGCTGCTGTAAGTTTTGAGTCCTGGTATCATGCTGCAGTATAATGCACTAGACTTCTGTAAGGTCAGTTTGAATCGCAAGGCTGGTGGTTCAAACCCATCATTTGCTCTTCAGGAACCTTAAACAGGGTTGTTAGGAGTATCAACTTGATGGCACTTAACAACAAACCACAACTCTTTAAGTTTTAAAGTAAATCTTTAGAATATGTAAATCAACATGTTAATGAAAGTAAGCCTGAATTTTGACACACTTTCTTAATATCCCTACTATAAAGTTTTGAACTGGACTGCAAGCCGCAAGGTTGGCAATTTAAGCCCAATAACTGGTCTGCAGAGGAAAGGTGAGGCTTTCTGCTCCTCCAAGATTCACATCCTCAGAAATTCTTTTGCAGGGTCTCTATGTGTCAGTACTGACTCGATGGCACTTAATAATAACAACACAGTTCTGAAAGACCCTTTCAAGAAGATTCTGTTTACTTGTTTGTGTTTTAGATTTAAACCAATTAATAAGAATTCCTTTAGCTGCTACAGAATAGCCCATTCTCTATTTTATTATATTGATTTCTGTAATGATGGAATAAATTCTCTTATCATTTAAGATTCACAGATACTGCTGCTTATATGAAGCCTGACATCCCTACTAGAGGCTGGCAACATTTCTCCAATGATCCCACACCATCCCACTACGTTGTTTAGTAAAGAATTATTTCCCATTAATGATATACCATGCTTGCTGAAATCGAAGAGGACTTGAAACATTCACTTATGAAGATCAAAGAACACAGCCTTTGGTATGGATTACATCTCAATGTCAAGAAAACAAAAATCCTCACCACTGGACCAATAAACAACATTCTTATCAATGGAGAAAAGATTGAAGTTGTCAAGGACTTCATTCTTCTTGGATCAACTATCAACACTCCAGGAAGCAGCAGTCAAGAGATCAGACGACATATTGCATTGGGCAAATCTGCTGCACAGGAACTTTTGAAAATATTGAAGAGCAGAGATGTCAGCTTGAGGACTAAGGTGCTCCTGACCAAAGCCATGGTATTTTCAATAACCTCATATGGATGCAAAAGCTGGACAGTGAATAAGGAAGATCATAGAAGAATTGATGCCTTTGAGTTGTGGTGTTGGAGGAGAATACTGAAAGTGCCATGGACTGCCAAAAGAACCAATAAATCTGTTTTGGAAGAAGTGCAGCCAGAGTGCTCCTTGGAGGCTAGGATGGCTAAGCTTCGTCTCTCATACTTTGGACATATTGTCTGGAGGGAACATTCGCTGGAGAAGGATGTCATGCTGGGTAAGGTGGAGGGTCAGAGAAAAAGAGGAAGACCCCTAGCAAGATGGATTGGCCAGGTGGCATCATTGATGGCGTCAAGTGTGGCAGCGGTAGTGAGGTTGGCCCATGATCGGACATTGTTTCATTCTGCTGTGCACGGGGTCGCTATGAGTCGGTTCCGACTCGATGGCCCCTGACAACAACAACAGCAATGATATACCAGGGGACGTTGAAAAGTTTGTGGAAAGTGGAATAGAAAAATAATGGAGGTCATGACTACAGGAAAGGTTCTGAAACCTGAGCTGTCAAGACATGTGACCTCACTGAGGGCAAGACAGTAGTTTAAGGAGGATTTCCAGCTGTTTGACAGAAGCAGGTGATGACAAGATCTTGTGCAGCCAGCATGGGGGATGTGATGAGGGCCTTGGGCCAGAACTCCACCAATGGCAAGGTGCTCAAGGTCCTTGGGAATCTCAAGAGTGACAAGATGAACATGAAGGTGAAAGATTTTGAGCACTTCCTGCCCATGCGTCAGACTGTGGCCAAGAACAAGGACCAGGGCACCTATGAGGACAGTGTTGAAAGTTTTTGGGTATTTGACAAGGAAGGGAACGGCACTGTCTTGGGTGCTGAAATTCAGCATGCCCTGTCACTCTAGGTGCACAAGGACAGCAATGGTTGTATTAACTATGAAGGGCTAGTCTATGTGATGCAGAGTGGCTGAGGGCAGACTTTCCTATGTCCCCAGAGCCCGGTGTGGGACTGTATCTACTCTGAAGTCTTCCTTGGCTGTCCCAGCGCCTTTCACATCTTGCCTCTCTTGAACAATGCTTACAAGCAGCATTCACCAAATAAACTTGCCCTCTGTCCCCAGAAAAGAAAGGAAAAAAGAAGGTAATGGAATATCTTTCATGTGTATCTTACCAATAGACTGTTAATTGCTCAGGAGGAACAAAACTTCCTTATTTTTGTATAAATTCCTTTTTATATTCACAATAGCAAGTGGAGTGTCTGGTACAGAGTAGAACTTAAAATATTTGAATAATTATGGAAGAATAAATGCAATAAAAACAAATGTATTGAGGTTTTATTTTTTTAACTTAGAAATTAGACTGATTTGAAATACATTAGAAATGTTTCTAATTTAGAGAAAAAACAAAGAAGAGGCACTAGGGAACACAGGAGGAAGTTCTAGTGCAACTCTAGGGTTGAAAGAGATCACAAATAAGGATGTTAGACACCTGGTTACATTTGAATTTTTAAAATTTATTTTCAGATTTATTTAAGTAAAACATACACCAAATTCAACTGTTTTCATTTACAACTCAGTGACGCTGGTAACATATTTCAAGTTGTGTAACCATCCTCAGACTTCCTTTCTGAAACTTCCCACCCTAATTAACATAAACTCAGTGCCCCTTAAGTTTCCTATCTAAACTTTCAAGTTGCTTGTGTCACTTTAATTCAACATAGTTCTTAAAAGAACACAAAATTTAAGGCAGATGTTTTTACTAGTTTAAATGGACTTTAAGATTTCAGGGGATATTTCTGCTTTAAGGTTTAAAAGCAATTCCAGGGCAATAGTTTTGGGGCTCCATCTAGGCACCATGGCTATAGAAAATGTGGAGTTGATGAGCCTTTGAGGTACTGTTCTGCATTTCCCTCTTTTTGAACAGGAGTTTTCTATATAATCTTTGATCAAAATGTTCAGTAATGGTAGCTGGGAAAGTTGAATTTTGACAATTAGGACTTTTAAAATTTTATTTTAGTATCTCCCAAATATTGTATGGCATACGCTTTACCAAAAATGTATTGGTTGTCAGAAACACAATATGACTTGATATCCTGTATTTTATCTGGTAACACTATTCTAAATACTTTTTGAGTATGTAATTTTTATAAGTATTGTATCTCTGAAATGTAAATGAAAACTCTGAAAGTCCATTTTCTAAAAATGCATATGCATAAAGTTGGATTTAGAATTAGCCAGACATCTAAATCATAGACCAGTGTACTTTACAATCTCAAAAAACAATTCATATTTTTGATAAATGCAATAAAATCCAAGGGGTTAGGATTTTAACATTTCTGCTCATACGAAACACTTTCTCCCTTCTGAGAATGACTTCCAGCTGATTATGGGCTTTCCATGAGCAGGGAATTTTTGTGTTATTTTCAGAAAATAGAAGTCATGATACTGACCCTCTGGAAGACGTCCTCTGATGAAATGAGTTGGTAGTTGGTTGTTTGGTAATTTCAGAATGGACATAATCCTTTCCTGCTAAGCAACCAGAGAAATTCTTCAACGATTCTGAGATAATTACACTTTTTAAAAGATGTTTTACAGTTTTAAATGTTCATCCAATCATTAAGGAACATACACAATTCAATTTTGAAAACATATTTTTAAATTTATTGTAAACTGAATTTTAAATATATATATTTTTTAATTTAAGGTAGGAAAAGGAAGATGTAATTCACTCTGAAATATGCAGTTAAAAGTTTAAATAAATTGAAAGATGCTTCCCTTTGCTTTGGTAAGGTGGCAATTATTTACAACCTATAAGAGCAGGTTTGGTGTAGTGGAGGGATCAGAATCAGTGTTAGATTTGTTGGGTGACTCAGTACAAGGTGAGGAACTACAGAGACTTGGTGTGGTGGTGGTGGTGGTTATGTGCCTTGGAGTCGATCCCGACTCATAGTGACCCTATACAGGGTTTCCGAGGCTGTAAATCTTTACAGGAGCAGAAAGCCTCATCTTTCTCCCTCGGAACAGCTGGTAGTTTTGAACTGCTGACCTTGTGGTTTACAGCCTGATTTGTAACCACTATACTACCAAAGCTCCTTCCAGAGAGTTGGTGTAGATACCTCTTATTTAGGCCACCTGTGCTTCATTATAATTCTCGTCTCATGACAAGTTTCCTTTGCAGTCAGAAATCAAATTACGACTTCGTTACATTCAAATTTTGATAGCTAGTTTATTGAAATAAAATTTTACCATCATAAGGATATTGAAACCTTATTTTTTAAAATCTACATGCTAGTGTAATAAAACATTTAGTATTATTCAATTAGCCAGGTTTTCTTCATGTCATTTGATTTCTTTGAGGCTAAGGAATTTTTCCCATCATCCCTTATAACTCCGACTGAATAAGTCTTAAGGCTTTCTTCATGTTTTCTATCACTGAAATAGAGTAAATTGTATAAATACATTACTAGTAAAAAAAAATTTTCAAGCATTATAATCTATTTATCCCCCGGAATCAGAAATCCATCCTTGTAAATTAATAGCTAGAAAACATAATATTGAAGACTACAAGGATAAACATACATATGCAAATTTAGGGATTAGACAACTCAGAGATGGTTGGTCAACTTTTTTCATGTGAAATCATTTTTTTCAGAGGAATTTAGAGAAAATATGATTTCTGTTATTTTTAACTGATCATTATGGATTAGTATCATTAGATGTGACTGTCGATAATAAATGTAAAAAATAAGGTCCCAAGTAAGACTGCATCTCCTTTCTTACAGACAGTATAAAAAGACAAAAAAAAAAAAAAAATTTATATCAACTTGAAAATATTACAGGTGATTTTTGATAATTGGACTTGCTTTTTCAACGTTGTGTACTTCTAACATGTACTACAGTGAAGCTTGTGAGAGTCAGAATTGTATGGAACTGCCTCATTTTTCTGGGTTTTGTAGCTTTTCCATCTTTGACAGTGTATGGTCTTACCACTTTGCTATTGTTCTCTGTAAGAGGAAATTATTTGAGTTTTCCTTCTCTGATTGGTTTTGGCCTTGCATAAGTTCTGACTTTTGCAAGTTTTGTTTCATATTCTTTTTAGTTGTCTCAAAATTTAGTAATCCTAAGAATCACTAGGCATCTCTGCTAAAATACAGATTTCAAGGTGCCCCCGAAATACTGATTCCATGTGTTAGGTAGGAGGCAGTAATTTACATTTTAAAGGCTTGTACTACACGCAGCCCCAGTGATTCTGACTGTGTCTTGCTCTTTGAGCAGCATGGTTGTCAGGCACTATTGACCCTTGTAGTAGCACTATTACTGTTGAAGATAATTTGTGAATACTTATATACTGGTAAATCCTGAGGTTCATATGTATACAATCTATTAGAGTATCTTCCAGTTATATCAGCTCTCACTATTAAGGAGGGATATGCCAAAAAAAAAAAACAAACAAAAACAAAAACAAAAAAAATGCTAAAAAACAAAAAACACACAACGCATTGAATTATTATCTAAAATGCCACTGCAATTATTCTTGCCCCTGCCTCTAAAACAAATATTAATAAAATTTAAAAGCAAAATCAGTTTTCATATATGTGAATTCATAATGCGTAACACTTTCTCTCTGAATTCATACTTATTATATCTGAGTTCTCTGGAAATTCAGTTTGGAGAAGTATACTGAAAGGAGTCCTGGTGTGGTGCTGTGCATTAATGCACCAGACTTCAAGGTCCTTTGAACTGCAAGGTTGGAGGGTCAAGTTCACCAGCTGCTCCTCGGAAAACCTATACAGAGTTGCTATGGGTCAGAACCGACTTGACGGCACTTAACAACAACAACAACACTGAAAGGGCATTGTGATAGTAATTTAATACCACAAGTTAATTTCTGGTGGAGGTTGGGTGCCAATGATTTGATTCCAAATCATAGTGGCCCTGTATAGAGTTTCCAAGGCTATAAATCTTTACAGGAGCAGAAAGATGAAAGCCTCATCTTTCTCCCGTGTAGCAACTGGTAGATTCGAACCACTGACCTTGTCGTTAGCAGTCCATTTCATAATCCACTATGCTACCAGGGCTCTTTAAAATTGTAAAATTCTAGATATAATGACTCTATAGAGTTGTCTAAAAATAATAAAAGTTATCTAAAATGTGTTGTGTTAATAATAGAAGTTGTCTAAAAGTGTGTTGAGTTAATAATTACTTTTCCTTAAAAGTAATAATATTTAAACTAGTATTTTTTAAAATGAGAACACTAAGCATTCTACTAAATTTTATAAAACTGGCTAAATGAGATGATATACACACCCACAAACATGATCCTAGGTACATATTGCCCATCAGGAGATAAATTCTTATCGCTGGTCTCATGCTGTCAGGAGAAAGAAAAAGAAATATTATTGGATTAGATTGCTTTTGATAGTTAATTTCTAAAATATTTTAACGTAAATTTTTAACAAATTGTATTTTTCCCTTTTATAGTTTATAGATACAACATTCGATTCAATACCTACTAAGACATAGTGCTTTGTGTTTTAAAAATAGAAGAAAAAGAAAAAAAGTCCCTTGAAGTCTGATATTAAGAAAGCATTGCAAAGGCAGGTACTATGAGGTTCAGCATAATAAAATGATTCTGAGCCATTTCTTGTATTTCTTCATCTTGGGCACATACTTTTTTCAGTGCTGTGGAAGGAAACACAATGCCAGTTAGTTTCAATGATCAAGATATATTTAATATTTCATTCCCAAACCATACCCACTGCCATCAATTTGATTCTGGCTCTGAAGGACCAGATAGAGCAGAGTAGAACCACAGAGTAGAGTAGTGCTTTTAAGGCTGTAAGTTTGTACCAGAGCAGATTGCCACATATTTCTCCCATAAAAGATGGCGGATTCAAATCCCCGATCTTTCTGTCAGCAGCCCAGGGCGTATCCACTGTGCCTCCAGGGCTCCTCTTAACATGACATAACAAAATAAACTTTTTTTTTTTTATATTTGTCTGCATTTATAATTGAACATTAATAATTTATTGGCCAATTACCAGTTTGTCCTTCATTGCTCTCCAATGAGGGGCAGAGTCTGTCCATGGAGTATCCATGGGACACCAAAGAATAATCTCATTGATGAATCAACTAGATTTATAAATTTACATGCATCATTGGCTAAGAAATTGCTTAAAACAATTTTATCTTTCATCAGGTTTTCCTATCCTTTTTTTTGGAAGGGTATTAAATCCTAAAAGACAACATAATATATTTAGAGATTGCTAACAATCACTGTACTCTTTAAGTACCTTACAGTGGTACTCTGGTAGTTTCTTTTTAACAAAATGTTTCAGAATTTGCTACATTTTTCTTGATGGTTGTCATAAGGTCATTTTCTCCTTCATGTAAGAAATAAACTAAGATTTTAGGAGCTAAAATTACCTTGACTATACTGACAATTCTCCAAGTGATGAATAACCATCAGTGGTGTGTTACTAAACAAAGAAAATATGGAGTTAAGTTATGAGATTAAATCTGAGTCAAAATATACAATGGCATTAGATGTAAAGCTTTAATACTTCCAGCTAGACTTAAAATAAGAATTCAGATTTACAAATCATAAGCAATGTAGTCTTTAGAAACAGGCTTATTACATTAGTGCACATGTTAGAAATTCTCAGATGATTGAATCAGATTCTCTGGAGGTGAAGTCTAGGAAACTGTATCTTAAGAAGCTTACTGGGAAATTCTTATGTACAAAGTATATTATATTGCAATTGTATAAATAAACATCAATGTTGCTTCCAGAGGTAAAGGGATATTAAGAACAAGATGTTGATTTCTACTGAACAGATTTCAGATAACTCAAAGTTTTTTTGTTTTTTTTTTTAAGGTTTTATAAAACTTATTGATGATAATCTTACATACCAGGAATAGAGTACTCAAGGGCCATCAAGGGAAAACAGCCATGTGAGCGGTATATGGGACCCTATCCAGAGAAGCAGTGATACCAGAGATGGAGGCAGAGGGATGACTTGGAGAGATAGAGCAGCTGAGGACTCTAGACTCATGGAAAGAGAAAGGCTGTGTGCTGGCAGCCAGGCAGTAGGCTTGCAGAATGTGCCCTTTGGTTGTTTAAATTATTATATATACCTGAGTGTTTTTGTGTAAATTAAAAAAAACAAAACCCTAAAACAAAACAGAGAGGATAGAACCAAACATTTTTGAATGGTGATACATGGAGGGGATTGAAATAATTGCAATGAGACTAAATATGATAGGATGAATATAAACTAAATGTTCTCTCATTTAAACTATCAGTCAATTCACAATAAAAATGTAAAAAAATATTGATAATATCTGTCTATTTTTATATCCTTTAATTCAACCCACAATATGCAAAGAAACTGTGAATTTTCTCTTTATGTTTTTCAATGCCATTTTGATTTTAGCTCTTAAAAAAATAAAGAAAGTTGAGTCCTGCTATGGTACTGTAGGGTAAGTAATCAGTTACAAGGTCGGTTTGAACCACAAAGTCAGTAGTTCAAGCTCACCAGGCACTCTTCAGAAACCCTATACAGGGTTGCTATGGATAGGAACCCACTCGACGACACTTAACAACAACATCATCAATTGAAAAAAGAAGTTTATGAACTTTCTTGCTCGTTAGATGATGACAAAAAATTCCAATGTTAATTGCAGTAAAGGATAAGATAATTATGAATTGGATATATAAAATGCTTTTAAAATGTTATTTGAATCCTTACAGGATGCTGTGCATCAAAAGAGGTAGACACTTGCTACCGCAAGGTAAATCTGCTGCACAAGACTTTTTTAAAGTGTTGAAAAGCAAAGAAGTCACTTTGAGGACTAAGGTGCACCCGACCCAAGCCATGGTATTTTCAATAACCTCATATGCATGCAAAAGTTGGACAGTAAATAAGGAAGACCATAGAAGAATTGATGCTTTTGAGTTATGGAGTTGGAGGCGAAGTCCATGGGCTGCCAAATGAACCAATAGATCTGTTTTGGAAGAAGTGCAGCCAGAGTGCCCCTTGGAGGCCAGGATGGCCAAACTTTGTCTCTCATCCTTTGGACATATTGTCAAGATGGACCAGTCACTGGAGAAAGATATCATGTTTGGTAAGGTCAGAGAAAAAGAGGAAGACCCTCAGCTAGATGGATTGGCAACATGGCAGCATCAATGAGCTCAAGCATAGCAACTATTGTGAGGTTGGCCCAGGACCAGGCAATATTTTGTTCTGCTGTGCATAGAGTCACTATGAATTGGTACCAACTCAATGGCACCTAACCACAACAACAGCTGCTTCGTACTGTCAGACAGTTCAGGCTCACAGTTTCCCTGTATAGGGTTTGCAAGGTTATAAATCTTTATGGGAGCAGAAAGTCTCATCTTTCTCCTGAAGAGCAGCTAGTGTATTCAATCTGTTGACCTTGTGGTTAGCAGCCCAAAGCGTAACCCACTACACTATCAGGGCTCCTATTGCAGATTTGTTGTTGTTAAGTGCCGTTGAGTCTATTCTGACCTATAGCAACCCTGTCTGTATAGGGTTTCCGAGGAGCAGCTCATGAACTTGAACAGCCTACCTTAATACTTAATAATTATTAATATGTAATACTTAAGTATTAATACTTAATAATTATAAATTAGGTATAAGAACAACAGAGCTAATCATGTAAAGTTTGATACCCTTGTTGTGTTGTTGTTAAGTGCTGTTGAGTCGGTTTGACTCATAGTAATCCTGTACAAGGTTTCCAAGTAGTGACTGGTGGGTTTGAACTGCCTGCCTTGTGGTTAGCAGTCCAGTGCTTATGCTATAGTGCCACAACAGGACTCCTATGTGGTATCAAATATTTGTCTGTCTCAAAAGAGTGTTAAATAACAAATTTAAATTAGGAATAATTTAAATTTGACCTCAAAACCTGAAATATAAGTAAACATTAAGTAAGGGTAAATCCTACAACTTCAAGATTTATGACAGAAAGCTATTTATGAAGGAAAGCTATCATTTGCCAATGCTTTAAGCTTATTGGTAAAAAAGCAGATTAGAAATACAAAGAATAAGGTATCATTCCCACTTTTTATTAACAGAACACGATTTCTGAGAACATTTATTGACTTTTCTGGAGGCAAATCTGTTTAGAACAAACAACTCCTAATCCTCAGCCTTGTTATCTTTCTACTCGATAACTTTTCCTCTGGTGAAGATTAATTAGATAGTAGCAGCTGCCTGGGACACAGAAGAGTTTAGGAGCATGAATCATTCCTATTTCCTAAAATGCTGCCATTTCTTCCCAGCATCTATGGAACACTGGGGAACAAGGCCAGCTATGGGGAAAGAGATTGATGTAACACTTTAAAAACAAACTTCAGCATCGGATTCTGTGCCATTAATCTTGAGATCATTTTAACAGTTCAGCTAAGAATAGACTATTCATGCATTCAAATCAAGAGACTATTCCATTTCAGAAAGTAAACAGAAGTATTTCTGGTAGAAATCAAAGTTGAGATGATCTAAATTACTGTTTTTCAGGAAAAAACCAGGAAGTAAATATTTCAGGCTTTGGAGGGCATCCAGTCTCTTGTTGCAAATACTGAATTTTGCCATAAAGGAGTAAAAGCAGCCACCAACAATCTGTAAACAGATGAGTATAGATGTGTTGTAACAAAACTTTATGAACACTGAAATATGAATTTTATATCATTCTCATGTGCCACAAATTTTTTTTCCCAAAAGTTAAAAGTATAAAATCATTCTTAGAGCACCAATCATAAGCGACCCTTAGTCTAAAGTTTCATGAAACAAACATCAGATTATGAAGAGCTTGAGTTTAGATTTAAAAAATAGTTGTTTTAGATTAGTAGCTGTACTCTGAGCTGTCTAAAACAAGAGTCACCCAGACCTGGTTACCTGTCAGTATCATTTGGTAAATTGTCATTTAAAATTTAGGTTGTTTTTTTTTTTCTTTTTTTAAACATTTTACTATGAATTGAGTGAAGGTTTGTACAGCAGACCATCAGTTTTACATCCAACAAATCATGCACTTCATTTTATCCCCTCCATGCAACATCACTTATTCCACTTCCACTTTGTAGATTGTCTTTTCATTAACCTGCTTGAGATTTGTCTTTGGGTAAATGCTGTTCTTTTGATCTATCTAGAATGGTTGATCAGTATATAGTGTGTTTGCCTCACTAGTGTTGTTGTTCTCCCTAAGTTGTTGTTGTCATGTGCCCTTTCAGAATAGATCGTAATGGTAGCAGGCACCATGTTGTTCTTGTGACCTCAGGGTCATGGATACTGATATTCACATGATCCATTGGAGTAAGTGTTTCCAAGGGTCTTCAATTTTCATCACTTTCTTTCCTCCAGACAGGGAGAGACCAATAATAGTTGCACATTAGATGATCACTCATGAACTTTCAAGATCCTTGTCAATACTCACCAAAGTAGAATGTAGAACATTGTCCTTGTGGACTATGCCAATGGGCCATGGTGTCCCCTGAGACTATGATCCCGAGCCCAAGCCTCAGAAAATCATTCCCTCAATGTGTTGGGTACTGTGTAAAAAGTTTTCATAACTTTATTCTCAATATGCTACACCATACCCATGAATATGTTTGCAGCAAAGGTAAATACCATGTACAAATATCCTCTGTTAAACCTTTATATATTTGTGGGTATGCTTCCATTCTCCCTCCCAAACCTGCTCAGCCTCTGTGTCTATCCATGCATCTACCTGTGTTGTTGTTGTTAAGTGCCATAGTCAGTTCCAACCCATAGTGACCCTGTATAGGGTATCCGAGGAGCACTTTAACTTAGAAAAGTAGGTAAACATATATATAATGTTTGTTGTTTAAGTGCCATCAAGTTGGTTCCTACTAGAGCGACCCTGTATAGGGTTCCTGAGGAGCAGCTGGTGGATTTGAACTGCCGACCTTGTGGTCTGCACTCCAGTGCTGATCCTACAGTGTCACATGAGGACTTCTTTTGTACATAAGGTTGCTATGAGTTGGACCCAAGTGGATGGCACCTAACACCATAACAGCAGTGGTGATGTGAGATGGCAACTGCTTCCTTTACTCTCACTAAAACTGTTACGAAACCATTATTACTTCATCTAATAGGTAAAAATGGGGGAAGTTAATGTGGCTTTTTTCTTTTATTAATAAATTACCACCTTTATTCATATAACTAAGACAGACTAGAAAGAAAGGTCTGGTGATCTACTTCTGAAAATTAGCGAATGAGAAACCTTCCCAACAGATCATTGTCCGCATAGTGTTGAAAGGTGACTTCTCTACATTGGAAGGCCCTCCAAATACATGGTGAGCACAACAGTGGACTCAAGCATCTTGAAGGTGCTGCAAGGCTGGGCAGCATCTTGGTTCATACGGTTGCCGTGAATCAGAGCTGACTCATGTCCGCTAACAGCAACAACAATGCCAACTTAGTCCAAAGAACATATAATAACGGAACAAATAGTGTGGCATTCTCTCAAAAACGAACACACCAATTTTTCATTGCTCCATAAAAATGTGTATATATATGCTTTATCAAAACTAATTGGGAAGAATTTTACCTTTTTTGAGCATGAAAGAGACCTTCTTCATTTGTTTGTATCCAGGTGATATCATCTCCCCATCCTGAAATACACAAGAATAATCAATGCATTAATCCAGAAGGGCTTCAAAACAGTCATCTGATAAGCAGATATTTATCTACAGATATTGAACAAAGCCACCGAGCATTCAATTGGCATATGATGTTCAAACCAAACTTGTTGCTTTCTAGTGGATTATAATTCATGGCAACCCAAGTGTTTCAGAGTAGAACTTTGCTCCAGGGGATATTCAATGGCTATTGTTATTGCTGTTGTTAAATGCCTTGTTGAGTTGACTCTAATTCAGAGCCACCTTGTATGGAATTTCTGCTGAACCCACTGGTGGGTTTGAACTTTTGACCTTGCAGTTCAAATTGACCTTGAGGCCCAGTGCTTATCCTACATTGCCATACCAGGACTTATTAAATGCCTTGTTGAGTTGACTCTAATTCAGAGCCACCTTGTATGGAATTTCTGCTGAACCCACTGGTGGGTTTGAACTTCTGACCTTGCGGCCCAGTGCTTATCCTACATTGCCATACCAGGACTTATTCAATGGCTGTTGTTGTTGTTGCTATTTAGTGCCGTCAAGTATGTTCCGACTCATAGAGACCCTGTACAGTGTTTTCAAGGAGCAACTGGTGGATTTGAACTGCCGACCTTGTGGTTCACAGTCCAGTGCTGATCCACAGGGCCACACTAGAAGTCCAATGACTGTAGTCTTAAAAAAATAGTTGTTTTTTTCTGTTGTGCAGGTGAATGGATGTGAACCGCCAACCTTTTGGTAGTGGTGGTGATGGTGATTATGCGCCATAGAGTTGGTTCTGATTCTTAGCAACCCTGTGTAGCATTTCCGAGGCTGTAAATCTTTACAGGAGCAGAAAACCTCACCTTTCTCCTGTAGAGTGGTGGTAGCTTTGAACTACTGACCTAGTAGTTAGCAGCCTAACTCAAAACCCACCATGCTACTAGGACTCCTCTTTTGGTAGTTGTTATTGTTAAGTGCCATCAAGTCAGTTCCGACCCATAGCAACCCTGTATAGGGTTTCCAAGGAGCAGATGGTGAGCTTAAACTGCTGACCTTGTGGTTTAAACGGACTCAAATGCAAACTGTTTGTACGTCCCAGAGACCTTTTGACATATGATGTAAAGGGTTAAGTATAACTGGGTATGAAGAGAGAATGTCATTTCCAACTGCTTTACTGAGGTATTGAATGGTGTTTCACACTTCAAGGCCCACAGCTTTGAACATAGAAAGTGTGCAATAAATGCTGTTGTGATTAAAGGTGATCAAAAGGACATTTCTGGAATGTACAAAAGCTCTGGTCTTTGGTATGGCCATAATAACAGCTAGTCTTTGCATGCTATGTAAAACTATCAGAAATACTTTGGATTGCACTCCACAGTTCTCTTGCTTCTTGAGTGCCAGAAGATGGTGACCATTGTTGTTGTTAATTCTGACTCAGAGCAACCCTGTATAGGGTTTCTGAGGAGCAGCTGGTGAGTTTGAAGCCCCGACCTTGTGGTTCAAACCAACTGCAGTCTGGCCATTATCCTGCAGCACCACACCAGGACTCCAAGTGAGTACATAAATCATGGATGAAAGGAATTCCTAATTTTGCTTTGTGGGAAAATTTCTGGTATGGGAATTTCATAACTGAGAAACCCTGCGAAGACAGTTATTTTGGAAGTATACAGAACAATGGAGGAACATTAAAAAGAAAACAATGAAAAGAAAGAGAACCCACTAGTCTTTAAAAATGCGGCACAATTAGTTGGGAGTGTGTATTAAAGTTTGAAATATAAGCTCATTAACAAGAAAACAAAAATCCTCACCATTGGACCAATAAACAACATTCTTATCAATGGAGAAAAGATTGAGGTTGTCAAGGACTTCATTCTTCTTGGATCAACTATCAACACTCGTGGAAGCAGCAGTCAAGAGATCAGACGACGTATTGCATTGGGCAAATCTGCTGCACAGGAACTTTTTAAAGTATTGAAGAGCAGAGATGTCAGCTTGAGGACTAAGATGCGCCTGATCCAAGCCATGATATTTTCAATAACCTCATATGGATGCGAAACCTGGACAGTGAATAAGGAAGATCGTAGAAGAATTGATGCCTTTGAGTTGTGGTGTTGGAGGAGAATATTGAAAGTGCCATGGACTGCCAAAAGAACCAATAGATCTGTTTTGGAAGAAGTGCAACCAGAGTGCTACTTGGAGGCCAGGATAGCTAAGCGTCGTCTCTCATACTTTGGACATATTGTCAGGAGGAAATAGTCGCTGGAGAAGGATGTCATGCTGGGTAAGGTGGAGGGTCAGAGAAAAAGAGGAAGACCCCTAACGAGATGGATTGGCCAGGTGGCATCATTGATGGACTCAAGTGTAGCAGGGGTAGTGAGGTTGGCCCAGGATTGGACATTGTTTCGTTCTGCTGTGCATGGGGTCACTATGAGTCGGTTCCAACTTGATGGCACCTGACGACAACAACAAGGAGAAGAATGCACAGAACACCGAGATATACTGCAGACGACAGTATTTTAGGAAACGGTTCATATTTATTGATAAAAATGATTGAATCGATAGTGTTGTATGTATCTATCAACTATTGTCAGACTGCTGTGTGGCTTTCCTATTGTGGCTAAATAATGATCAGAAATTCTGAAGCAGAATTATAAAGCAAGATAAACATGTTGTTGTTGTCAAGTGCTGTCGAGTCGATTCTGACCCATAGTGACCCTATATAGGGTTTCCAAGGAGCATCTGGTGAGCTTGAACCGCCGACCTTGAATTCAAATGGCTTTCCAGTCTGGCGCATTAACCCACAGCGCCACACCAGGACTCTAAGATAAACATAACTGCATGAATTTTGCTTGTTGTTTCGTTTTTGGTTTATTTGTTGGTTTGGTTTTTGGTAGTAGTTTTATTGAAACATAGTTCATATATCATCCAATTTACCCATAAAAGTATACAATTCAATTGTTTTAGGTTATTCATTGAGTTGTAAAGCCATCATCACAATCTATTTTAGAACATTTTCATTGCCAACCTCATTCAGAATCCTCATGCCATATACCACTCTCTCTCAACCCCACATTTTCCCCAGCCCTAAGCAACTGGTGTGGTACTGTGGGTTAATGCGCTGGACTGCAATGTCAGTTTGAACTGCAAAGTCAGCAGGTCAAGCTCACCAGCTACTCCTTGGAAACCCTATACAGGGTCAATTTGGGTTGGAACCAACTTGACAGCACTTGACAACAACAACAACAAAAAGCAACCTCTAATCTCTATAGATTTGCTATTCTGTACATACAATACAAATGGGATTATGCTAAATATGATCTTTTGTGACACATTTCTTTTACTTAACATATTGTTTTCAAGTTTCAGCCATGTTGTAACATGTATCAGTACTTCATTCCTTTTATCGCTGATAATATTCCATTGTATGGATTGATCACATTTTATTTATCCATTCATCAGTTGATGGGCATTTAAATTGTTTCCACTTTTTGGCTATTATGAATGATGCTGATGTTAATATTGATGTTTCGGTTTTGTGTGGATATGCATTTTTATTTCTCTTAAGTATATATTGAAGACTAGACTTGCTGGGTGGATGATAACGCTACCTTTAACTTTGTGAGAAACTGCCAGTTTGTTTCTCAATGTGGATGCATTATTTAACATTCTCAACAGTATTGTTTTACTTTGTTTTTACCTGATTTTAGAATCTTAGCATTAGAGAATATTTTATTTTGTTTAACATTACAACTTAGCAGAAATTGCCTTCCTAGCCCTAAAAATCCTGAAGAATGATTTTCCAATTTTTCATGAACGTATAAAGTATCTTCACACCACATTTTGTGTTAGTAAGAGTTATTCTAGGAAAGGATGAGATTGAGACTCTCCTTAATTTTCCTTTTTCTGTTTCAAATATCATTCAATGTCAGAGCTACAGCAATGGAAACCATTACAATTCTCTGCTCCTGTTCAATTTAATTCCACAAGCATTAAAGTAGCAGCTGCTTTATGTCTTACTGCACTAAGCACTGGGGATATAAAGGTAAAACAATACCTTTCCTGATTTCAAATAGCTATTTCATAGCCTTGAAGAGAAGTTTTACAATATTAAAATTACTTTTATGGGTTAATGCACACAAAATGTGTGCAATGTC